AATTCACGTTAATGCAAATATAATTTCATTATCTTGGGTCTCTTCACTGTGACTACAATCATTACAATAGACTTCCGAGTTCTAACAGAATAAAGTGCATGAAAATATAAACACAAGCTCACCAAATATCTCTTTCAAGTGAGCCTCATTAACATTCCTTGATAAGTGATCAATGCAGAGAACAGCCGACTCGGCAGGAGGTGACGCTTTCCTGAAACCAATAACCATTTCTTCAATAATTTAGGGCTCAAGAGTTACATGTAGAGGTAGATATGAAAACAGGGAACACAAAACCATGCAAAGTTCCTGGGGAAACAGATGAAATCTACAGATTTAACAGTAAAAGCCCAACAGCATGTTATGCACATGATAGAAACTTCCCCAGAAAAATATAGGGCAAAAGAAGTCAATGGAGTTATGAACAGTAAGCAGCAACATCACAGCCACAAAGAAATTTATCAGATGCTGCTATGACATTTTCTTAGTAACATGTGGAGCTGTAGCATCCAATATAATAAGAATTGAAGATCCTTTGTATCATTAGCCCATATACAGCATCCTATTTGACAAACTACAATTACTTCATATATATACAAGACAAAAAATGATAGTCAAGTAACAAGTGAAACAGCACGCTATAAATATATATAATTATCAATAAACATAGCCAGAGAATTAAAGTAACATATGCAGTTTATATGCAAACTTGTATATACCTTGGGGGTGAAGCCTTTTTAGGTGGTGGTGATGGCGAACAGACCTTCTTTGAGGGTGAGCCCTTTTTGGGGGGCAGCGAAGGTGATTGGCCTTTTTGTGCTCCAGGCGAACTGGGCAGACAACAGTATCCAGAAGTAGCACCCAAGATAAAGAGAACCAGCATAAGAAACATTACAGTTCATGAAAAAAATACCAAACAACCATGTTCAAGCAGAATGCACGTCGTGTAACTACATGACTTCATACATGAGAAGACTTTAAATTAAATTGCCATGAGCCCATGACAGCAATAAAAACATGTTAACAGGGCGAAGCAAAAGCATGAGGCATGATGGATTCATCAATCAATAAAATGATTTCAACAAATTGATTTGGGTACCAAATGCTGGTCAGTGCAGGCAGCTGCTATTACAGAAAATGCAAAAGGCACAGCTAAATAATAAGCCTACAGCAGGGAGTTGGAACCAATCAAAGGTGTCCATCTGAATTCTGAATGCAGGATCACACAATTAACTTATGTTTCCAGTCTATCACGAGCATGATTGAAAAACCGAATTCAGCATTAGAAAACTGTTACCAAACTCTGGTTCTGTTCAATGCTGAATGACAGCATCCATACGTTGAGTGCCACAAGGACAAACTGTAATTGTATTCAACAGAAGTAGTCTGAACACGCAAGCCACGCCTGAAGTGTAAAATTATCTGAATCAAGCAGCCTCGTACTAAATACTCTAGTCCTCAAGGTTTATGATGAAGTTACTGAAGGCACTAGGGTTTAACGAAGCGACTCTCAAATAAGTATAAACGTTGAAACGGGGGATAACTCGCTACCCGGACGAACAAACAGCACACACACCCAAAAACAAACTCCGAACAAATGCAACAAAACCTAATAAATTAGCCTAGAAAACAGTGGATCTATAGGGTGTAGGGTCGAGCCTCACCTGCGCTTAGCCGGAGGAGGGGAGCGGCTCCGGGACTGGGAGGACGACGACGAGAAGGAGCGGGAGCGCGACCGGGAGCGGGACGAGACGGAGCCGGAGGAGACGGAGTGGGACGGCGAGCGGGAGGAAGAGCCCGAGGAGGAGCGAGACGCGGAGCGGCCGCGCCGAGGCTTCGCCATCGTCCCCGGCGGCGGCAGTGGCGGCGGCCGGGCGAGCGTCGGCGACCCTGCGGTGCTGGGCTAGGGTTTTGAGCGGGTTGGGAGAAGGAAGAGATTGGGAGTCTGGTTACATCCCAGACTCCAGTTCAACCCACCCGTGTCGGTGTGAAAAGATCCCCTGCTGCTGTCCATGTCCACTCCTGTTTTTCGGCCCAACGGGCCCAATAGACGCCTCCGCAAAGGTGTAAGCCCTGTTTCGCATAGCAGAATCCGTGGGAATTGATTCTATTGTTGAAAATGATTTTTTATATTAGGATATAAACTATTTAACCCCTCAAAAAATAGAATAAACTATTTTCATAAAGTAATTATATGCATGGAGTGAGTAAGGAGAAGCCATTTTTTAGCTCCTATAGTCTGTTGATTCATTTCGGAAAATCACTTTACAAAATCAACGTAGAATCATTTGTTAGAAAAAAAATATATTTAGCAGAACTCCTGGATCCAACTTCGAGCATCTATATCCCTTCATAAATATTAGAAATAGAGATTTTGATGAAAAACTACCCTCCAACAGCTTCTTCTATTCTGGATTTTTTGCTAGTAAAAAATAGAAGACAAGAATGGCTCTCTAGAGTACGCATGAGATATAAAAAACTGTTGGAGAGTGAAAAAATATAGAAAACGAATTTTATGAAAATAGCTCTCTACATAATGATTTAGAAAGTGAGATTTAGAAAGGCTATCGGAGATACTCTTACAAACTGATTTTGGAACTCCGTCAAAACCTCAAAGAAGCCCTAACATGCGTTAGAGCAGGGGTATATGTTTAGACTGTGCTGTAAAAAATACCAACATTATAATTGTTTGGGGGCTTAAATAACCGTTTAGGAAAAAAAATTAAGGAGGGACGTATAAGCGAGTGGATGGGGAGGGGGGGGGGAGGATAATTAATCAAAGTGAGATCTATAACCAGATCATATTTATAGGTGTAGAAAAAAGAGATTCCATAACTGTAAAAAAAAAATATTCCACCAATTTGGAGGTCAGGATCAGGATCAGGATGAATCCTCGGAGGCAAAGAGCACACGAGTTTGCGGCGGCATGCGGCAGTTTACCAAGTGGAATTGAACAGGGCACCACCGTACATGTGGCAACAGGTTACAGCTTACTCCATTCAGGCCTCGTTTAGATTGCAACTTTTTCCAACCTGATGAATAGTACCACTTTCGTCTTATTTAATAAATATTGTCCAATCGTGGATCAACTAGGTTCAAAAAATTCATCTCGTGATTTTCAACTAAACTGTGTAATTAGTTATTTTTTTATCTACATTTAATACTCCATACAAGCGGCTAAAAATTAATGTGATAGAGAAAGTGAAAAAAATTAGAACTTTGATGGGATTTAAACAAGGCCTCAGGAGTGTCAGGTTACATGCGGCATTCAGAAGTACATCTGGGTACGTACCTCTGAATGCTTGTCAGGCCAAACAGATTTATAGATACATCATGGCTTTGTTTAGATTGTAAATTTTTTTACTCTCTCTCTATCATATCAAATCTTTGAACACATATATAGAGTATTAAATGTAAATAAAAAAATAACTAATTACATAAATTGATTGTAAATTACGAGACGAATCTTTTGAACCTAGTTAGGTCATGATTGGACAATAATTATCAAATATAAATAAAAGTGCTACAGTGCTAAATACTGATTCCTAACCACCATCTAAACAAGGCCCAAATAACATAGGGAGATTGCAATTTAATGGACTACAATTGGACGTAATGCTTCTACGGTCCCTGTTCGCTTGTCTTATAATCCGTATTTTCATACTTTTCAGCTTATTTTTTTCCAATCGAAACAGTGTTTTTCTCTCACAGCAAATCAGCCAACGGTGCTTAGTACTTTCAGCCATGGCTTACACTTGCAATACCACTCCATTCACAGCTGTACCTTCTAGATTTTCCATGACCCTCCAGTCAGCTCTACATCGCGGGTCAAATTTCTGATTGGCATTTTAGGTCCCCATACCTTTTCAGAGCATCAGGACGACACCAGAATGGCAATGGCACGAACCAACTGTCATCAATAATATGGCCACAATACAACGTCATCCACAAATTTATACGAAACATTGAACTTATAATAACTGATGCATCAAATTACCGATTAATCATGACACTGTGATCTCCGTCTATAGTCCAGTCAAGCTTATTAGATGCATAATCATCATGGCCAGCCTCATCAACAGTCCTATTAAACATGCCAAAGAATATAGTAAATTGCTTATTATGCTTTACTGGCCCTGCTTCAATAAATAGTTCGATTGCTTGCACAACTCCTGTACGTTATTGAAACCTGAATACACCGCATGACAAGCACCTGAATACCCAAACAAACCTTTTTTTTCCTCAAAATGACCCAGGACGTGGAGAATCTCTTCCCATGTTAGGTACCAGGTTCCTCCTGCATGCTTGTCGTAGAAGTTCATGCCAACAAATTTCCCGTCAAAATCAAGAAGGGGCCCTCCAATGCCAGCCTAGCCAGGTGACACAGAGAAGTTGTCATCAGTAATGTCAAAGAGATATGGTCATTATACAACCATGATCTTCAACTGTGTAATAATATACGAGAAGATAGCACACATACTTTACTGATTCTACACTTAGAAAAACGGAGATATCCACAATCAAGTTCGCACACCATGCCAGCTTTGTGTCCTCTCGAAGCCATTAATTCGCCGGATTTGAAGATACGGCCTACAGCTAGTACTTCACGATTGTCACACCGCGGATGTTGAATTTTTATTGGATGGCTAGGACTGTAATCGTTGACCCTAACTAGAGCAATATTGTAATGTAAATTATAATGTTGTAATATTCCGGCTGCTCGTTCTTTGCTTGGAAGGAACACTTCAATCTGCAAACGACACAATTAAGACTCCATAGATTCATAAAATGAACATGGATCACGTGATAGCTAGAAGCACAAACCCTCAAGTTTTTAAAAATCTCATCTGCACGACGGGAATGTCTAATCAAGCTCGCTGACGTTAGAATAGTGGTACCTACATGGGGGGGGCTAAATTATTGTAGGCTAGAAATTTTGCTAAAATTCAATTACAGAGCTGTTAGGAGGCGCTGAGGTTACATTTCAGCATCGTCGAGTGGGGCTAAAGGCTATTTGCTTGGGCTCCTTTTGCACTGCATAGCAGTGCTATTACTGAAGATTTTGGGCTATGCCCCAGGCTGCAGCCCTGGCAGCCCGGGCCCTGAATCCGCCCCTGTACATTCCATTCAATAAAGCAACCTGTGCATGCAAAAAACCTTTTTTCTCCTGAATACCGTAATTGATCATTAGTTAGTTGTGAACCTGTGGTTAGATACAGATATGAAATAGTAAACAGCACAATACTGCAAAATCACCATTGAATGAAGCAAGTGCAACGATATTTTCATCTATGTTGGTGGCAACTGTTTCCTTTAGTTCGCTCCAGACACCTTTATCACCTTTATCATGTGTGTCACCGAAAGGCTCTTCAAAACTACTAACCAAAATGCAATCTGGTTGAAAATACAATGTACAATACTTGTAAGTGGAACATCAAAAAAGGAAAAAAAAATACAATGCATGAGAAATCAATATTTATAGGCTTTTTTTTAAAACAAATATTTATAGGCATTGACTCACCAGTTAACATTGTTTCTGGACGTTCAGGATAACCCAAGGATTCTAGATCCCCAAAACGATCCCCATTAAACCCATCTCCATGTACTGGTGCAACAATATCAATAGGTCAAGTGTCTAGCACTAATGTAAGTTAATATTAGATACAATAAGTAACATTAACGTAAAATTGTGTGCAGAGGATCAGCGCACACGATGAACATATGATGACAACTTGAGCTGAGCCATACTAAGTGATTCTGCTTGAACATACCCATGAACAAAGTAAAATAAGGACCATCAGATAGGGCTGCAAGAAACATGAGCAGAGTAAAATAAGGACCATCAGACCTGAAATTGGTAACCCGGTTTTCTCTCCTTCATTGCAAATTGGTTTGTCCTTTGCTGACCTTCTTGTAGGATAAGATCTTTTATTCTTCTTTGAGCTTCTCGTGTGATTATCAATTGTTCTGTTCTTTGTTGAGCTTCTTGTGAGATAAGGTGTATTCTTCTTCGAGCTTCTTGTGAGATCACCAACTCTTTCATTCCTCTTCGAGCTTCTCGTGAGACCATCACCACCCCTATTACTTTTTACCATCTTCCATTCCAAGCACTGAAGCAGAAGTTAACAAAAAATAAGTGCAAAGTGTGAGTCAAAACAGTAAAAAGAATAAATGAAGCAGTAAAAGTAACCCAGATCTACTAATCCGAAGGTCGCACATACTGATTTTAAGTCAAGGCCGATGGCTCGTGACCTAACATAAGTTTTCGTGTAATACAATTCACTCGATGAGTTTGTTGGATAGCGCTCCAAACAATTACAAAAGCCCCATAGAAATTTGTATGCTGCCTGAAGCCATTAATGTCCCTTGTAAATTCTATCATCCACAACAATTCTAGATTCCTTTACTCCATCAGATCATTCGTAATGAGTCATCTCACATTCCAGAGTGTAAGACAGCATACATATAAAACCATTCCAGGAGCAGCCCTCCAGCATTTAACAAGAAATAGGTACAGGTAGCAGGTTATGCTTCATATACAATTACCCAAGGCAATGCAAACATTTATAAAAAGTTTTCTATGAACAATGAATGACTGCCTGCACCCAAAACGAATCAGGCGCGCGACGGCCGGACAGCGCGCCGCGCTCCCACAGCCACAATGCACGCGGAAGGCATTGCCTCCGCCCCCTACACCCCCGCACTCCACTAACTGACGCGGCTGCTCGCCCCCGACCTCCCCGCTGGACGTCTTCCGCCACGCCCGGCCATCCCTCTACATCCCAGAACCACTTCTTGTCCAACCCGGGCACTCCCAACGTCCTTCTGAAACACCCAGGCTGTGAGCCACAGCTCACCTCCAATCACACGGATAAGGTGGAGAGGGGGAGGAGAAGGAGGAGGGCGTGACCCCTCGTCGCCGGCCGTCGGCTTTACCTCCTCGTTTTCCTCGAAAGAGAAATAGAGAGTGGGGGATGGAAACGAACGAACCGGGCTCTCCCTCTCGAGAGTTTATAGACAGGAAAGAAAAGGAGAAAAAAAAGTCTGGCGCGGCATCTATATATTGTGCCAGTAGCCCATCTGTACTGGGGCAGTCATATTTCTGTGCCCTGTTTTCCTTAGCCCAGAGCCCAGCCTTGTATAATATCTTTTAGGATACTAATTGACTGTTATGGGGCTTGTGCGTATCCACTCTTTCCGATACTAATGGGCTGTACGGCAATTCTTATTTACGTATCAAGGTGAAAATTGGATTATCCGAAAATCGTTGAGAGGAGTCACCTTCACACACACCCACATGTACAAAAAGTAACATTCTAGTTAGTAAAAAAAAGTAACATAAAATAACTAAATTCCATTCTAAAAAGTAACATTCTAGTTAGTAAAATAACATCCCCAAAAAAAGTCAATAAAATAACTAAATTCCATTCTAGTTAGTAAAAAATTAATTAATTTTCACCTCGGTTCACTTCAAAACACGTGAATTAAGTTGGCCAAACAAGCTCTTTGATCGGACATAAAGATAAATTATGTGAACTCAAGCTGGGGAAGGAGAGATGCGACAATTTTTAGTATGCCTACTTTGGAACACAGATTCTCAGACACACAGGAATAAGGGAAAAAAAGAGGATTAGAGTTGCACGAAACTTACAACGTTGGCCTCCGTGCCTATGTGGTGCTCCTTCTTGACTCGCAGGTAGGGATGAAAACGGGACTAACTGCCCGAATCGGATATTGATAGTCCGTATTTGAATTCGGACATTTAATATCCGACCGTATATGAATCCGAATAGATGTATATGAGATAAATATCAATATCCGACCGTATATGAATCCGAATAGATGTATATGAGATAAATATTAATATCCGAATGATCCATATCCGAAAGATCCAAGAAAAATATAGGACGGAATAAGGGATACAAGAAAAATATAGGACGGAATAAGGGATATGGGATAATACAAGATCACAGGCATATGTCTAGATCCGGTTTCATCCCTACTTGTAGGCAATCGGAAATTGCTCCTCCGGTGGCTAAAACATATTATAATTTGTATTGGAGGGAGTAGTTATGTAGCATTTCCGTTTTCACTTCCATGAACATTTGATAGCATTTTTCTCCTGTTACAACGCACGGACACGTTTACTAGTTCATGATAAAAATGCAATATGATCTTGGGAGATGTATTTTATTTAAACTCCGAAGCCATACTGCTAATTTCAACAAGGTGCCGACACATCACAAACTCATATTGAATTGAGCCATCAAACAAGAAGATACTGAAACTGACAGTACATGCGAATTTGCTTAGGGTACGCTTCCAATTTCATTAGTTAATCTGTCTACTACTAAAAAAACGTTTATGTTTTGTCAAAAAAAAACATTTACGATGCCACAAGTACAAAATTATATACAGCACAAAATGTTTCATTGGAGTGTTCCTTCGGCTTCTTGTAAGTTGTTACTTGTGTTGTGTGAGCTAACATCTCTCAAAAATCTTGTAAAGTTTCTCCAGAGAAGCAATCTGCACACACAGTTCAGAAAAATAAATAGAAAGATGTTAGCAACCATTGTTATTATCATCGACAGAGGCGAGTCATACAAGTAACATTATTTCAAAGCTTGGCTACATGATGACTGACAAAGGAAGACAATCTACTCAAAACAATGCAACCCACCGGTGGCCTGGTGATGATACTATGATTTGTCTAAGATAATTTGCAGCTTTTTACTGGCAATTTAAAGAAAATGCAAGACCACTTGTACACGTACTACCTTGTTAAAAGATTATGCCAAGGACATTGCAACGATTAGAAGATGGGATGGTGGTTTCAGTTTCAGAAGTATGCATCAGTCTGGAAGCACATTTGACGGTACCAATAGTACAAGTACATGCATTTCTAAATAGGACTCCGTATTGGCAATTTGTTGAACAATTCAATGCCAACCTGGTGAGAAATATAAGAACATGTATGTAAAGCATACCAATGAATTAGGTGCAGCAACTAAACCATCCATAGATCAAAGTACAATGTCAGGGGTTTGGGCGTTTGGTCATATCTAATATCTAATGGTTTCTATACACACTCAAAGCTGTACATGTCAAAGCTTTGAAACAAGGGAACAAACCTGAACAAAGGTTCCATCTGTTGCCATTGACTTTGGGGGCTTGAGGAAAAGTCGCATGGATGGAAACAAGACATGCTGAATGGTCCACTCGCGTTGGGACCATGCTGTCTCTGCTTCCGCAAGTAGTTCGTGATCAATGTCATCTTCATCTGTGGCACAATTCACCTTTTAGTGCCAATAGCAAATAATGATGATGAAAATACATGTATTCAGCGCTAGAATTGAGCCTACGAAATATGTAGCCCTAGCATCATATATCATAATTATTAGTGTTTTCTTTATTTTTTCATCTCATGTTATAGGAGTGGTTTCAGGGTTGTCAACTGGGATAGAATCCAGCTTCAGTAATATTGATGATGTCTACTAAGGTGTACACCTTGCAACTCTTGATAATGTCCTAGCACTAGTAGCACCTCACTGAGCAATGGCTGCAAAGTACGTATACCAATCCGCTCACCTGTACTATCAAAATGTTCGCCACTCGCCATGCAATCTTTATTTTTCTTGTACAACTGAATGCCACTCCCTGATGGATTTGGAAGGATGGGCGGATGGAGTGCGTAGAAGTTCCCAACAGCAGCAGCTGCCGTTCTGAAGCACTCTTTCTCATCATCCCAGGTAACCTATTTTAAGATTGAAATTGCTAAAAAAAATCAGGGTTGCCAGAACTAGGAGGACTGCATCATCCAAAAAATGCCATGAGGCAACATATATCAGGGCTCAGACTAAGAAACAAGTTAAATAAGAAGTTATGTTCAGATACTTACATGAAAAGATAATTAAATTTCAAACATTGAAACAGTTCTGCTAATGAATTACTTGCCATCTCGATAGGGAGTGTATAGTCTAGCACTATAGTTTCACGCTCCAATTTTAAATTAGCACACATAATGAACTTGACAACTTAATAAGAGAAAACCTACATCATTCCCCATAGTCAACACAAATTCTGGGAGACGATCCATATCAGGGGTGTACTGATCAAGTACAACTGGAAGCCTGGTCAAGTTCCCATCTTGATCAACATGAATAGAGAAGTACTCATTAATCATCTCAGAGTTTTCTTTCAGTATCTTTGAGTTTACCTGCAAAAATTAGATAATGTTCGTTCAAAGGGCTATGTAACAAGACGTTGGTGGACTCAAACTGAAATAAACAAACTTATCAATATTATACATCACCTTAGGAACCTATCACATTAACCAAGATTTTGGGCAATTCAGAAAACAACTTACCTCTGCAATCTCCAGTTTCTCCTCATCATTTTCATCACCAATTAATTCATCGTCTTTCAGTGCCATCAGCAACAGCTCCTGAAGAGGAGCTGGTTCACTAAGCTGTATAGCATTGAAGTTTCCAAAACGGCGCAGAGCTTGCTGGTACATGAGTTCTTTACTGCACCGTAAATTGAATAATTAACATACCACATGAAATTAAATACTAAAATGTCCCTGGAAATAAATAATATCAATGCAATATGTCGAATTGGCAGCAGTAGTTGCAATGCAGGTGGTAGCAGGGTGATGGTCTGGCATGGCATCATGAAGTCCTGAACAACTCTATGTGGGCATGCATGCATCTTATCTGTATGGTTAGAGTGGAATTGGGTTTCTAGTGCCATCTGCGAATCATGTAAGAATTTTTTGTTTTTGCTCAGATAAGGCACTGGTCACATGTGGAAAGGACGAGAGATAATTCACTGCGTTGGAGTTACCTAACATTTACAACATTGACAAGGTATAAGTGAGTATTGTGCTGTATCAAAGCTAAAACTTCATCAGCCAGGCCAACATATGTGCAATTCTTAATAACCTCTAAAAGACCTGCAGCAGTAGATAAAACATCAGGCTAAAAGAATAGAGGCACTCCTTTCAGTCATCAAAGGATAAGATGAACTCACCAGGATGGCAGTGAGAATCTATTTCCATAAGAAGCTCATGACGGCTAGATATATCACCAGCATCCTTTGGATTCCTCCTTGATCTTACAACATTTCTTGTAGAATCATGTAAACATTGAGAAATAAAATCAGCCTCAGCAAAAATAAATGATAGCAATCACAGTTTTCACTTCTTAAAATAGATTGTTTGAATTAGCAACCAGCATAGAAAAAGGAAAGGACAGCACTCCCAATAAAACGAGATCCAGCATGCAAGCAAAAAAAACATAACAAGGATAGGATAGCAACTTTGTAAACAAAAAATAAAGGGTGCATGTGAGGGGGTGAAGTGGTTCAATGACACAAATACAAGATCAAATCAAATGATGAGGAAAATCTGAAAGGAACGCTCAGTGGTTGCTAGCTTGATAATTAAGAGCCTACCTTACAGAAACAAGGTCAGATTTCTTTTCAAGATTTGAAGATTGCCCATGCCAGTAAGTGTGCAACCTTCCAGATGGATTGCGTGGATCAGTTCTGACCATTTGGCTCACAGGAGTCTTTTGAGATTTCATTCCTACAGTACAAATGGTTACAATGAGATGATTCGCTGGGCGGGATTCAGACACTACTGATCAGGTAGCAAATAGTAATAAGCAATTAACTCATACGCCAAGGCAGCATAGGGCACTACTGGAAAACATTTAAGCTTAAAAAGTTATGATCCATTATATGTGTTGATTGACATTGTACATACCAGAGGCCATTTTGACATCAGTACCCTTGTCCTTCTGTGTGCAAACTTGAGTAAATGCTGAGGAGTTTACTGCCTGCAACTTACATGGAACAACATCATCAATGGTACAGAATTCACATCAAAGTTCAATTACATGTGCACAGACATCATAGGACGTTTCAACTTTCAAGTATAAGAAAGTCTGTTATTATAAATAATGAAAACGAACATGCTTGACCATCGCCAAATCATATGCCATAAAAAACCACATATCAAATAAAGTTCTCAGGTCAATGCTTGTGTTTATAGGCACGGTCACCCAGTGAAGAGTCATGTTTCCAAGAAAGATTTTATGAATATGGTGACCAAGTATGTAATCAAAAGTTGTCAGACAGATATATGGCAACTGGTAAGTAAAGTATAGTAGCGGAATACAGGCTATGACCCAGAAGTACCACAAAATATCAATGTTCACAATACACATACAATCCAAGGGTAAGTAACTAAGTATCACAGATTTGTATGGGACTAAGTAATAGAAACAGGTTTGCAGATACACAGTGCTAAATTGCCAATTAATTACCTGAGTTTGGAATATCCTTGTGGTATTAGAATTCCTCAGTTTTTCCTCAATGGTATTTTTTATAGTTTCAATAATACGCTCTTGATTCAAGAGGCTAACCTGAAAGACAAAAGTATTCACAAAAGTATCCAATCATTTGTTTTATAATTGGAAAAAATAAAAGAAAGAAAAATGCTTGAACATCAGAAGCAGAACAGCATACCTCTTTTTTGGTTGGGTGTATATTGACATCCACATGTTCTGATGGAAGATTGATGGACATGTATATGAAGGGTTTGGATGCTTGAGGCAACGTTGCAGAGTACACAAATTCAATTGCCCTTTTTAAAGCAGTACAGTCTACAAGCCTATCTGAAGAGTAAATATGAAGATACATAAATGATAAAGCAGAGAAATAATGCATACAGTAGAAAACAAAAAAGGAGCGGCTAACTTGACTAATTCTGACCAGAACTGCAAAGGTGGATTATCTACATGATCATTCATATTGTAGAGAAAAGTTTCCAAATCTAAATAAACCAGCAGATGTTATTTACACAGGAATGGAGAAATATTGGCTCCCTAAAAAATTCACTAGTACTATTCTCGTATGTTTCTACCATTTATGAAAAGGATCATCGTGATCTTCTTTGCCACATAATTTGCATTTGATATATAACCATCCATCTTGAAAACTGCATCTCCAGCATCCTCATCTGAAACTTCTATTTCAATCAGATCACGAACAACAGAAGCCCCATAGATATTCCTTATAGCATCCAGTCTAGAAGATGTGCTCGAACTATGAACATCTGCTCTATTGGCTCCATGCTGTGACATAAGAAGCAAATGATACCCTATTAAATCTGACGAGTGATGATATAAAGGGTGCCTTATTAAATCTGATGATGATATAATGGGGGGGAAAGGCAGGGATGTTTACCTTTCTGCAGGAAAAGTTCACATTGATGTGATGGACTGCAAAACGGCTAATGAAATCCACAATCTTGGGGTAGTCGTCATTGGAGTTCTGCAATGTTTTTCTACGAGCTACCATATTGTAAAATAAATTTTCAACCTGCAGAGAATTATGTTGTTGTAAACCTTACAGACATATCCAACGGTATTAAGCAGACAAGGAAGTAGCACTTCATGTTAAACTGACCATGACTTGAGTTCCTTTAACTGCAGCACAGGGTTTTGGCTCATTCTCCATTACTCCATCTTTATAACAAACACTGACGAGGAAAAGTGAAAACATGGCATAACTTATATCAGCAGCAAATACATAGAATACAGAAGAATCATAAAATTTTGAACTGTTCATGAACTAACCGGTAGCCATGAAGTTGGCCCTCTGTTATTGTTGTCACAGTAACATGGCCGACATAAGTCATACTGGCCAGGGCCTCCCCTCTAAAGCCCATAGATTTTATGGTCTGTAAATCCTCATATGCAGATAACTTTGAGGTAGTATGCCTTTCACATAATATTGGCAAATCCTCAAACTATGAAATGGAAATAAATTAGCTACATAAGTACATTTTCAGTGGGACGTTTAAGGTGGAACAACGAAAATATGAACAGAGCATATATTGAATGCATTTACATCCTATAATTGAGAGAAGGCCCTCAAAATGCAACAAATCTTGAAAGTCTTAACAGACCACATAATGAACATGCTTATCCTAAGATAGGCAGCAGGCCCCTCGAGGGCAACAAACCTCTTGTGGTCACATATGACTTATAGGACTAGGAGTAGCATCCAAAATTGTGGCAACATCGTGTTCCAAAGAGGAACGACAACGGTGCAAAGGTTACTCGCCGAAAGGAGGGAACAAGCAAATCTGTGGAGCTGCAGACTTCCGGCGAAGACAAAGAGTGTGCGGTCTGAGAGTGAAAGGTGCAGTCTTCACATCAGCGATATGAGTCTCTAGCATGTAGTCTAGACTAGTCTGGTCAAAATGAGGTGGTGCAATCTGATGAAATGTGACACAACTTGACGTATCCTGATGTTTTTGCCGGACCAGTGGGGCCATTTCAAATTGAATCAGGTCTCCCCACAATCTCCCCCCCCCCGGGAAATTATTAAAGAAAAAACAAAATCGTGCCATCGTAATTTATTAGCCATTCACATCCTGGACTGCTTAACAGGGGTAATTATTTCCTGGTAGTTTTGTTCTCTTAATATTGTTTGCGCTTTGGTCAAACCTATATAACATTTCAAGCATATCAAAGCACAGAACCAACTGTCCCTAATGGTTCGTTCCTCATTCACATGCTTGGCAATTCGTTGAATCCACCAACCGCTCCAAAAAGGATTCAGGGATACTATAAGGCAACAATAGCATTTACAATCACAGTCACAGTCATACGCCCGGTCCTCCAACAACTCGACACTAGAAAAATGTGGGGTCGGACGGTCGGTTTCAGGGGTTTAGGGTTTAGCGAGCATACCCGGATGCCGTGGCCGTCGTCGGAGACCTGTATGAGCTTGAGTCCTCCGTCCTTGACGGTGACGGAGACCGTGGACGCGCCGGCGTCGAGGCTGTTCTCGACGAGCTCCTTGACCGCCGACGACGGCCGCTGGATCACCTCCCCCGCCGCGATGCGGTTCACCACCGATTCCTCTAGCCGACGGATGCGGGGAGGGTCCCCGCCGCTGCCTCCGCCGACGCGCGGCGACGGGTGATCGACGTCCATGGCCGCCGCGGAGGCGCGGAGGCCGAGAAAATGGAAGCTGCTGCCCTGAGGCGAGGTGGGTCTGGGCTTTGGAGTTGGAGTTCGCGCCTTGCGCGTGATATCCTCCCAGTATGCGGTTTGGAACAATTTCCTTTCGCAAATTAAAAGCAAGTAAAGAAAAGTTTGGTTTACGGCAGTTTTGAGACAAAAGGTTATATTACATTTACATTAGTTTCAAATTTCAAAATTATAGGATGTATGTAAAACGAGTAATGCTACGGCTACAAATAGAACTCTAAGCTCGGCTTACATACTGACATGGACGGCCACACGTGGTAATTCGAAGCAAGCAGGCAATTAAAAGGTTTCATTCATGTGGTGTTGGTTCTTGTCCATCTAGGAGAAAAATGAAAGGGAGTTTTGATATTTTTTTCTAAAGAAAGGCAATGGCCCTGTTTGATACTCTAACTAAGCTAGAGGTTAGAGTTACTCTCTAGCTCATGAGTAGCCCTAAATTAACTCTAGTCAAAGAGGTGTTTAGATGCAAAGGTTAGATTAACAATAAACATACTTTCCCAATCATTTGGCTCATTCCCAGCCGGATTTGGTGTGGCCGGCTGTTGTGTGCCCTTCTCCCGCTCACAAATGACACAAACAAATCATCTTTACAAATTATGCATCTATAACACGATAAATTTTAATTTGTCCATACAAATGAGATGTCTCACTCAAACATGTCCTCAATCAAGCTAAAAAAATGTACACTCCATTAAACAAAGTATCAGCTAACTCATCATGGAAGGCATTTATGTTGATATCTTCAACAAAAGGTTCATCCTCTGGCCATATTGATACAGAAGAACTAGAAATTGGGTTATAATTTTGGGGCTATTGCGTTCTTGCCCCTACTTTGACGTCCAATTATGATTTTACCCCTGATTTTGTCATCGTTATGATTTTATCCCTGTTTTTTGAAAACGAAGCTTAAGTTTACCCCTATTCCGTGAACAGCAGGTAACGGTGTCAAATGAACTCACTAAGGACAAGTTTGCCCCTGCTTTTGCTTTTGCCCGCTAACGCCATCGGGATGCCACCGCCACGACGATCCGCATTGCCCCCTCTCTCCTCCTCCTCCTCCCCCCCACCGCCATAGCCATGTGACCCACTCCTCTCCCATGATCGCGCCTCACAGCTAGCTAGCCAAAATTTCAATCCAAATCCATGGCACCCAAGCGCGTCGCGCTTCCTCCTCCTCCCTCCTCCTCCTCCTCCTCCTCCTCCTGCTTTCATCCCATGGCCTTGCCACCATTGAACTCGACCCGGCGCCGTGCCACCCGGACGACTGCGTCTTGCCGCTTGCCTTCTCCGGAACCTCACGTCGGCGGACGCCCTCCTCAGCCCTCCTCCTCCTCCTCTCCGCCCCGGGTGCTGCGTGTGGGGCCGCGTTTCTGCTGACGCGCCGCCGCCACGTGTCCGCATTGCGCCTACTGCCCGAGGCCTTGCAGGCCCACTCCCCCCCGCTCCCGCCTCCAGACCTCGCCATGGCCTCTCCGTCCCCCCTTCCTCCTCCGGGACCTCGACCTCAGCAGGAACGCGCTCACAAGCACCGTCGCCGACGGCCCTTCGCCGCCTTGCCAGGGACCATCCGCGCCGCTAACCTCTCCTCCAACCTCCTCCATGACGCGCTTCCAGGCGTCCCCATCCCGGACCACCTCGACGCCAGCAACAACTCCATCTCCGGCCCCCTCGCGCCCGACCTCTGCGCCAGCGCACCCATGCTCCGGGTACTCGACCTCTCCGCCAACCGCCTCGCCGGCATGCTCCTATCCTCGTCCTCAGTCTCCCCTCCGCCCTGCGCCGACCACGCTGCGGGAGCTCAGCCTCGCCAACAACGCCTTTCACCCATGTTGCGGAGCTGACGTGAGGAGAACGAGAGAGACAGAGGATACGGCAGAGGATGGGGGGATTAGGGAGGGTATCGGAGGATAAGGGGTATTGAAGGGTTTTTGTTGTTTTTTAATTTTTTTTATTTCAATATAACTAACAGAGTTAAAAGTAAGGGTAAACTGAGCCTTAGTAGTTATAAAGTAGGGGTAAAATCACAACGATGACAAAAACGAGGGTAAAATCACAATTGGACATTAAAATAGGGGCAAGAACACAATATTTTCTATAATTTTCATCCGCATCACAGGCATCAAATTCCCTATCCACAATTCTGCTCTCTCGAATAAAATTATGAAGAGCTATACAATCAACAATAATTCTAGTTTACTTGTCCTCTAGAAATCTTGGCATGTTCAACAAAATTCTAAATTTCATCTTCAACACTCCAAAAGATCGCTCTATGACATTCCTAACTTTGGCATGTGCATGGTTGAAGTTTTCTTTCATACCTTGTGGCGGCGGGCCGTTTTGCCATTGCTCCACATGGTACCTTGTACATCTATATGGTGAAACATAGCCTGGCCGGTTTGGGTACCCCGCATCAACCACATAATACTTCCCTACATATTTTGAAAGGCACACAATGAGACTTAGATGAACAAGTGTAATTGGATTAAAATTGTTGCAAGATAGTTCAAGTAGCATACCTAGTGGTGGATGTGGAAATTTGTGATGATGAGTAGTTATGGCATCTTTGAAAACTCTCATGTCATGTGCTGAACCAGGCCATCCCGACAACATAAAGGTAAATCTCATGTCGAAATCACAAACAGCAAGCACATTCTGACTGGTTTCATTGTGCCTGTTCAAGTATGGAACCCTCTTACTCTTATCCACCACAACCTTCACATGTGTCCCATCTATAGCTCCTATGTAGTCGTTGAAGTGTAGCCAGAATGCAGGATTTTCTAAGTTTGGGTGCACCTCTAAAAATGTTGGGTCCTTGGGTACAATTATGTCATGTGCTAACCTAAGGAGGCATGTCAAAACTCTATTAAATGTTCTGCTTACTGTCTCCATAGACCTCCTAAAATGGTTCTTAGCCTGTCTAACTGACTGTGGTGAACCAACAACCCATAAAAACATAGCAAGAGCCTCTACAGATGTCATTTTTGTAATAGACTTCAACCCATATGAATGGACCAAAGTATTATATAGCCTGTTAAATAAAGGTCTCTCAACCCTAAACATATTGTAGCATTAGGTATCTCAAGCTAGTGTCTCCTGCACCCAATCCAAACCAGAGTCTCCAGTGACCCTCCTAGGTAGTTTGACAAAGTAGTTATCAGAGTACATACCCAAGATAGGAACCAACTGCAAGATCAAATTCTGGGCCTCCACCAAATTATTGCAGCACATGGATATAATCTCGTCCTCACTTGTGCTGCCTCCATCATCTTCTTCTTCCTCAATCATGGGGTCCTGATCTTCTTCCTGATTCAACACATGTAACAAATTGTCAACACATAGCCTAAAACTTGAAGCAGTGTAAGCAAATGAAATTAATTCAACAAATTAATACAACCCATAGATAAATAGGTTCAACGCATAGCATTAAGTCAACACATCACACAGATAATAGTTCAAGACCTCACACACAGATGATAGGTTCGACACACATAATAGTTCAACACCTCACACACAGATAATAGTTCATGAAAGGTCCTTGTTGGTTTTGGTAATTGAGTGACAACCTAGGTGGACTAATTGTGTTTATGTGAGATACACAGGTGGTTAGTCCACAGGTACATGTGTATGAGCAACATATGCCATGGAGGTGAAAATGGCTTGGAGATGTTGCAAAGCTCACACATGTGATGATGAAGGAGCTTATTGCACATGAGACATGACATTGAGTCATGTGATCAAGGTGGAGAAGATCAAGACAAGACTTGGCTTGATGGACCGGTTGCAAGCGTGAAGGGCAAGTCAAAGGCTTTGGAGTGATGGACCGCGTGGCGGTGAAGCTTGAGCAAGACTTGGCGCCGATGGACAATGGCAACGGTGAAGGGCAAGTGAAGTCAAGATCGATGAACCAATATGATCACGTGATGATATGAAGTGGATCATATCATTGTTGATAGTGTTGGTGCATGTGTTGCATCGACATTGGAGGAGATGGTATGGAATGCGCAAGGCAAAGGTATAACCTAGGGCATTTCATTTCACCCCAATCATAGGTGTGTAGAGAAGTTTATGACCGGGTTTAGGATAGATGGCCGTACTATCAAGAGGGGCAAACTTGTTTGCATATCGGTCATCTAGTGCCACTCGAAAGTGATCTAACTTTGCATTGTCGCTAGGATCGAGTGGCGTGGCAAGTTGAGTGGTCGACATCCTTTGGGGAAATGATTGTGAAAATGCTAACACACATACACATGGTGGTGTACACTTGGTGGTGTTGGCACATTTACAAAGGAGGTGGTGTTTGCAAGGGTGAGATGGGTTTGGGTCCTCTCTCCCTCCCTCCCACCGAGCTTGCGAGATGGATTCAGCGCTTTCGGGAAAATAGAATGCCTATTTTCCATTGCGCTTGATTGCAAAGTTCTTGTGGTTAGCACATTGGAGCAAGGGTGATGAAGTTAGAAGTGAAAAGCGAAGTTAGTCGCGAAGATGTCGGCGTCGGTCAACCCACCGGACGCCGAATCTGAATGCACCGGACGCCGCGGCGAGAATGCGTCCGGTCAGCCGACGATGATGACGCAAAAGTCGGAGTGTGACCGGACGCCGGCATGCGTCCGATCAAGTGTGACCGGACGCGTCCGGCCAAGGTCGGTATCTTCTTCGAAACGACCGGACGCCGGGTTGTTGCGTCCGCCGGGATTCATCTTGGAGCGTCCGATCGGCAGATGACCGTTGAGATCCAGTGAACAGCGTTTGAAGAAGGGGACACGTGGCGTGCATCGCACGACGGACGGACGAGGTCCAGCGTCCGGCCGATCGGACCAGAGCGTCCGGTCATCGTCCCGACCGCTTGCTCAAAGTGAAGGGGTAACGGCTAGTTTAGCCCTTGGGGCTATAAATAGAAGTGGCCCTCGGCCATGGCTGGTGCTGAGCACCTCAAGGGACTTAGTGTCCATGCTTGTGAGTGCTTGGGAGCCCTCCATCACACATATACTTGATAGTGATCATTCGATTGTGTGAGTGAGCGATTCTAGTGCGATTGCATCGTGAGGTTGCATCGAGTGGCACTAGGTGATCGAGTTGCAGCCGGTGGTGCTTGTTACTCTTGGAGGTTGCCACCTCCTAGACGGCTTGGTGGTGGTCTCCGTCGAAGCGCTTAGCAAGAAGCTTGTCGCGCGCTCCGAGAAGTGCTTGTGAGGGGCATTGTGCTCACCCATGGGAGTCGCGAAGAGCAACTCTAGTAAAGTGTGTCATTGAGCTACCCTCACTCAAGGGGTAGGTTCTTGCGGTGCCCGACGTGCGGGCTTAGCAGTGTGATGCTAATTAGCCAACCAACCACCAAGTGAGCGGTCGACACAACAGGACTAGCGTGTTGGCAAACACGTGAACCTCGGGAGAAAAATCATCGTGTCAACTTTGTTCTTCCCGTTGGTTTGCATCCCCATTACACAAGCTTGCAATTACTTATATATATATCTTAAGCTTGTGTAGTTGCTCTTGTAATTAGATAGCTTGTGTAGCTAGCTAATTACCTTCTTGCTTGTGTAGCATAGAAGTAGCTTCCTTGCGTGGCTAATTTGGTTTTAGTAACCTTGTTAGTCACATTGCTTAGTTTGTGTAGCTATGTATTTGCGCTCTCTAATTAGGCGTTGGTTGCCTTGTTATTGAGCATTGCTAGTGAGCTTAGTTAGCTTTGTGCTTTTGCTTACTAGCATGTGTAGGAGCTCCCTTGTTACTTAAAGTACTAGTGGCATAGGTTTGTGTGACCTTGCTCCTAGAATTGTTTAGGAGAGCTCTAGCTAGCCCGGCACCTTAGTTGCTTTATTAGTATCTTTGCAAGGTGCTAGTGAACATATATAGAGGGGTGTGGTCTTGGCTAGATCGATTGTTTTAATTCCGCATTTTTATCGGTTAGCCGACGCGATTAATTTTAGAAAAGACTATTCACCCCCCCTCTAGTCCGCCATCTCGACCCTTCAGTTCAACACATAGATAAAAGATCAACATCTTAACACACACATTTCTTGAAGAACTACTCAACACCTCCTAAGCTCAGATTGTTGTCCCTGCACCATTTCTTGAAGTAACCCAACCTAAGCCGAGGAGTTAATTTGCCACAGAAGAACTACCTTTGGTACTCTGTTTCGAACATCTTGGACATAGCATAGACAGAGTCAATGGTTTCCTCAACGCCACACTCAAATACCAACTCCTGACACCTCTCGACAGAACGTGCTGCCTTGTCACTTGCACGTTTCTGTATTTGAGTAGTGTTGACTTTGACAGAGTCTTTGAAGGTACTGGCTATGTCCTTCACAATCTTCACCATTGGGCTCTTGCTCTTCTTCACTGGACTGGCCAAAGTGCTTGAATTGCTGCTTAATGACCTCTTTCCCCTCTGACTCCTCTGGCTGCTTCTACTTGTAGGTGTTGTTTGAAACTCCTCTTCCTCTTCTGTCCCTACATCTTGCTCCTGATTCTGACCATAATCATCTCCAGGCACAAAGGTTGTGCTTCCATCGACAGTGAACCCTCTGAATAGTTCATCAAGCAACTCCTCGTTTCCTAGAGGACCCCACTGCAACCTCTTTAGGTATTGTTTTTTCTACATCATAGGTTTACATCACAAGGTGATTAGAAACTAGTTAAGGTGAGCACACTACACAATTTGCTAGGGAACTCAGACTCATGCATAGCTTTACCTCTGTGTGTGTTGTCCAGAACTCAGACTCTGCATCAATTGTTCCATCTGGTTTCCTCCCCAACCCTATGCGCGTTTGCAAGTAGCGCTAGAATGAGTGGGTGCTCTTGAGTACGCCTATTTGGTTCTTCACCTGTAGATGGGTATACATCAACCCCCTTCGAGCAAGTAAGTCGTCGACAACGGCTTCATACCCTTCACCACTCATTTGTGCACCATTATATGTTCCTGCTCTATGTTGCTCTATGCACAATTCTAACAAGCAAGCATTATTTGCATCATTCCATTGGGCTCGATTGGCATGGCTCACCGGGGGACCGCCGGAGCTCACTAACTCCTCCACATCATCCTCCAATTCTTCATCGATGTCGAAGGGAGCGTCGTAGCTAGATGCTTGCCCACGGACGGCACTCCACGGCCACTGCCGCCACGGATCACCGTGTTCATGCGCTGAGCCGCCGCAACCACGTAACGCCATGTTGGTGCGCTACCGGTCGGGTACTGCGCCAGACGATTTCGTGCGCGCTGACGAACGCCGCCTACCCCCGACGATGACCCACCAGGGAATACGCCACCGTTTCCTCTTCTGCGACTGGCTGCCGATGACGATGACCCACTAAAGTGGAGTTGCCGGGCGTAGGGTGACGCCGGATTCACCCACGCGTCTCCTGCTCTCGGCTCGCGGTGGGCGATAGGGAGGGAGGCCGGAGCCCCTAACGCGGCTAGGGAGGAGCTCGTCGACGTTGCCCTGGAGGACGGCTCCGTAGAGCCCAAGCCCCGGGAACACCTCCGCCATTGGCGCTTGCGAGCTAAGGTCGAGATCCACGAGGCCAATGGGAGCGTGGCTAGGGCCGCTCGCCGACGGCTACGAGCCCCACACGTCGAAGCCGTCTTCGTCCATCGATGGGAGGCGGCGGCGCGGCTAGGGAGACGCGACAGCACGGATGACGGGAGGTGGCGACACGTGTGTGGCGAGATCCGTGGTGGCGCGCGTGTGGGAATGGGAGGGAGACTATAAGAAAAATTGACCCTAGGCCCATTTACTTTGGATTTTAGTGTTTGATGACCAATACAACCAAATTAGACTAATGAATTTGCAAGTGTTTATTTTGTAGTTCAATAGGGTGCAACACGTGACTTGGATGAAGGCGACGTGATGATCCGATGAACACCATAAGCAAGACCTTAGGAGCACAAGAAAAGACCCAAGATATCAAGCAAAGTCCAAGCATGAAGATAGGAACTAAGCCGTACGCAAGATCGCGAAGAAACGAGCTCGTAGAGGCGACCGGACACTGGACTGGACGCTGGAAGCCCGACCGGATGCTGGATCGGTGGCTCGATAGACAGGCGACCGGACGCTAGTGGCAGATTGACCGGACGCAGGACAGCAGAGTCCGGTCGAGTACAGAGAGGTTCCAGAGCGGTGAAAATACGACCGGACGCGTCCGGTGGCATGTCCGATCGATGAGATTGCGGCTCCACGGTCGGATGCGGCTCCACGTCCGGGCGACGGACGAGTTCAGCGTCCGGTCGATGTGCGTAAAAAAGCGGATTTTCATCTCCAATGGCTACTTTCTCAGTGGGGCTTATAAATACAACCCCCAACCGACCATTTGAGAGCAGTGGAGCTGAGGAAACATATATAGGGTGTTGATACACCATTTTAGTGACCTCCACTTGCATAGTGCTTAGTGTTTCATTAGGTGATTAGCGTAGGTGCTTTTGCGAAGTGCTTAGGTTGATTAGACCACCGCTTATACGCTTGCTCTAGGTTTAGGCCTAGTGTTTAGTGAGGTTTGCATACATCATACCACTCGGTGCTTGCACGCACCATTGTTGTACATCGGAGGGGCTTGAAGTCTTGCGAGATCACACCAACCACGTTTGTGGTGTGTCCACCACCGTGTATCGGAGAGAACAAGGCCCGTGGCGTTTGACCAAAAGCTAGATAGTGAAGATGGCGGGGAGCATCCGAGAGAGGCTTGTCGGAAGGCACGTCGGAGACCCACTTACGTGTGGGGAAGGTCCGAGGCTATCCATGGAGTTACCCGACCAGGAGCTTGCTCTTACGAGGGATTCCTTGCGAGGGGCTTCAACGAGGACTAGGGAGAAGCTTACGCGCTTCTCGATACCTCGATAAAAATACTGGAGTCGTCGATGGGAGTTTGCATATCTCTACCTTGCTCTTTAGCTTCCGCATTTACATTGATTACTTCTTTTGCTGTAGAGATAGCAACACATTAGCAAAACCGTAGTTGCACATTTAGATAGTTTATCTTTTGTATAGGTTTTGCTAAGGGTTGAAAAAGAGATTATAGTTTAGAGTTATATTTTTAAGTTGCCTAATTCACCCCCCCTCTTAGGCGTCACGGTCCCTTCAATTGGTATCAGAGCCGGTTGGCTCAATTTGGACCTTTGGCTTAACCGTCGTTGAGCCGACGCTATTTAGAGTGGTAGAGATGGATACCTCTAGGCCTCCGTACTTTGACGACACTAACTTCTCCTATTATAAAGCTAGAATGTCTTGCTACCTTGAAGCGGTTGATTTGGGTGTTTGGAGAGTCACTCGTGACGGGATGAAAACCATTAAGAATCCCGAAACATCCACAAAGAGTGGTGAAAAAGAAATACATTTCAATGCTAGAGCTAAAAATTGCTTGTTTGAATCTTTTAGCATGGATGTGTTTAACCAAGTGTTCACTTTAAATATGGCACATGAAATTTGGTTAAAACTTCAAGAGCTCCATGACGGCATAAGAAATGTCCATGAGCAAAAACATTGTCTATCTAAGCAAAATTATGATTCCTTTACAATGAATGATGATGAGTTTGTTCGCGATATGTATTCTCGTTTGAATCTAATTATCAATGAGCTCCATTCAATCGGTTTAATAAAGTTAGATGATGCGGACATCGTGAGGAAGATCATCTTCGTGCTACCACAAAAGAAATATGCAAGCATCATCACCATCCTTCACAACATGGAGAACTTGAGCACCATGACCCCGGGCATAGTCATTGGCAAGTTAGTGGCATTTGAAATGTCATGTAAGATGGGTCAAGATGAAGCCTCTTCATCGAGTAAAGGCAAAGCTCTCGCATGTAGCGAGAAGAAGATAAAGGACAAACAAGTTAAGACAAGCTCAAGCTCAAGCTCCTCAAGTGCGATGGAGAAGAAGAAGAAGAAGAAGATGATGATGATGAATCAAGTGATGATGATCAATCTTCCTCTTCCACCTTCGATCTTGATGAAAATCAATCAAACTTATCAACAAGGTGAAGAATATGATCCAAAGGCTCAATGTCAAGGATGTGCCCATCCAAATCCAAGATCTTATTTTCACCAATAAAAAAATTAGCAAAGAAAAGAGAGGATGCTATGGATGCGGCGAGTTGGGGTACTTTGTGGAAGTTTGTCCAAACAAGCCCACACCCAAGACAAAGAAGAAGACGTGCAAAAACCAAGCCCTTACATCAATAAGGTCATGGGATGATTCTTCAAGTGAAGAAGAACACCATCATAAGAGACGAGGGCGCAAGCACTCATCATTAAGCTCTTCTCGCATGTGCCTTATGGCACGAGGTAACGAAAGCTCATCCTCTAGTGAGGGTGATAGTGATGATGAAATGCCTTCGTATAAGGAAATTGTGCAACAAAATCTTAATTATGCTAAAGTTTACACTAGTCAACAAAAGAAGCTCAAAAAATTAAAATAAAAGCTAAATAATTCACAAGAAACATACAAACTTTGCTTGAACAATATGAGAACTTTGCTATTCTTAATGTTGAACTATCTACTAAAATTGAGCAACTTAAAGCTAGTGCAACAACAAATACATGCACAATCAATGATGAGCAACTTATAAAGAAAAATAAAAGATTAAAAGAAAAGTTAGCTAGCTCACAAGATGCTTATAAAAGTTTGCTTGCTAAAATAGAAACCATGTGCAAACATTGTGATGAGCTAACTAATAAAGTTGTTAATTTTAAAGCCGTTAGTATAACCCTCGCTAAGGCATCTAAAAAGAAAAGCTCTATCTTTAACATGCCTAAAGAGGATGCTTCTACTTCTTGTAATGATTTATGTTTAGACTCACCCTTGTGTAACCAAGTTTGTGTTGAGAAAGTTGTTGTAGATACATGCACACAAGAGGTTGCAAAAGAGAATGAACAACTCAAGCAAGAAGTAGCTCGCCTCACCAAGGACTTGACTCAAGTGAAAGGCAAGGCGAAGCAAGCCTAACTTTATTAAGATAACACCGTTAAGGGAGTGAAGAAGCTTGATGAAGGACAAACCGTGGTTTGCTATGTGTGCCATAAGGAATGCCACAAGTCCTTTGAGTGCAAGATGAAGAATGGGGGAGGAGCAAGAAAAAAGAGAAAAAGCAAACAAGCAAGCTCTCCAACACCTACACCAACAAGGTGGACAAGAAGGCCTCCACACCATACTTGTTAAAGAAGAAGAAAAATGATAAGGTGGTGGCCATCAAGGTGAACAAGCAAGCCATCAATGGGGTCAAACGCTTTTGGGTGCCAAAAGAAATTATTTCCAAAATAAAGAGCACCAAGAAGGTTTGGATCCCGAAAGGGAAGTGAGAAGTCCGATGAATCTTGGAGAATTTGAAGACTTGGCAAAATTTGGGTGCATTTCATGGAGTGCATCATGATGGACAAAGTCATTGCCAAGTGAGTTAGTGAATATTATGGACCAAAATTCTCCTTCCCATGTTAGATAACTAGATGTTATTACTTTCAATTGGTACTTCCTTCTAGTAATATTTTGTTTAATTGGTATATTTAAACATCTAGTTACTCTTAATGTCTAGATTTGTATTTGTATACTTATATCTTTTGTCATGCATACATTAGGTATATCTTATGGTAGGCTTGATCGGTTTCTTTCTTAACCCTTGGAGCAAACCTACATGGTTTAAAATTGCTTAGGAGCATGGCACATAGCTTGTCTCTCCATTGTTTATCTAATATGTGCCAAAGTTTAAATTGTAGATAATTTCTCCCGAATATCATCTTCGAAAATGATTCTCACATTCATGAGATGTCATCTTTCAAGTGGTATTATTGATTCTAAATTAATGTGCATGTCTTATACAAGTATTCCACACTTACATGCACAAATTTATGGGAGGTTACTCTACAAGTTGGATGCTTTGAGACTAACATCTTTCCAAGCTTATCATGTGTGTAGTAGTCTCATTGCAAGGAAAATGGAGTCCCCAAAGTTAAGCATCATACTTCAAATATCCACCACCTATTGCAAGTGGTAGAAATCAAATTAGTTTCCACATGTGGTATTTCTAAACCAATATCATCATGTTGATTTTATTTTAATATTTATATGCTTTCTCCATACATTATATATAGATTAAATTCCTTCTACAATAATTTACCAAATATGCATATGCATTGCTTTCTACCATATGTATGCATATATTTAGGGGGAGCCTAATCTATATAATGTGAGAGTCAAATTTTGTGACCTATTCCACTCTACTCACAAAGGTTCACAAAATTTGACCCTTCCTTGTGCTACTAATGTCTTCCTTTTTCGTGGTTTGGTTCCAAAGGAGGAGAATTTAGAGGACCAAAAGCAAGCATTAATAATTTACAAGTGGTAATGGTCCGAGAAAGAGAGGATGGTGGATTATGGATTGCCTATGTAATGGGGAGAATTTGTAGAAAGCAAGGCTTAAATCCATAATACCACATGGGGACATTTGCAAAGGCAAGATAAGTTTTTATATAGTCTTACAAGTAGTATCTTTTAGCATCATATAATCTTGCCCCTTGCATTGCATCCTAGCAAGTAGGTAGTTTTAAAATTTTCAAAATTTTATTATTTGCTTGCTTTGGTTGTGTTGTCATCAATCAACAAAAAGGGGAAGATTGTAAGAAAAATGGACCCTAGGCCTATTTACTTTGGATTTTGGTATTTGATGACCAATATAACCAAATTGGACTAATGAATTTGGAAGTGTTGGTTTTGTAGTTCAATAGGGTGCAACACGTGACTTGGACAAAGGCGACGTGATAATCCGATGATCAACACCATAAGAAAAACCTTAGGAGCACAAGAAAAGACCCAAAATATCAAGCAAAGTCCAAGCATGAAGATAGAAACCAAGCCGTACGCAAGATCGTGAAGAAACGAGCTCGCAGAGGCGACCGGATGCTGGACCGGATGCTGAAAGCATGACCAGACACTGGACCGGTGGCTCGGCAGACAAGCAATCGGACGTTGGCGGTAGATCGACCGGACGCAGGACAACAGAGTCTGGTCGAGTACAGAGAGGTTTCAGAGCGGCTAAAATACGACCGGACGCGTCCGGTGGCATGTGACCGGACGCTGGCAGCGTCCGATCAGTAGATCGCGGCTCCAATGGTCAGGGCGACCGGACGCGTCCGGTCAGGACGAGTTCAGCGTCCGGTTAGTAGCAGAAAAGCAGGATTTCATCCCCAACGGCTACTTTCTCAATGGGGCTTATAAATACAACATCCAACCGACCATTTGAGAGCAGTGGAACTGAGGAAACATATCTAGGGTGTTGATACACCATTTTAGTGATCTTTACTTGCATAGTGCTTAGTGTTTTCATTAGGTGATTAGAGTAGGTGCTTTGCGAAGTGCTTAGGTTGATTAGACCACCGCTTATGCGCTTGCTCTAGGTTTAGGCCTAGTGTTTAGTGAGGTTTGCATACCTTTTAGCACTCGGTGCTTGCGCGCACTATTGTTGTACATCGGAGGGGCTTGAAGTCTTGCGATATCACACCAACCACGTTTGTGGTGTGGTCGTCACCGTGTACCGGAGGGAATAAGGCCCGCGACGTTTCGGCCGGAAACTTGATAGTGAAGACGGCGGGGAGCATCCGGGAGAGGCTTGCCGGAAGGCACGTCGGAGACCCACTTGCGCGTCGAAGATGGGAGTTTGCATATATCTACCTTACTCTTTAGCATCCGCATTTACATTGATTACTTATTTTACGGTAGAGATAGCAACACATTAGCAAAACCGTAGTTGCACATTTAGATAGTTTATCTTTTGGATATGTTTTGCTAAGGTTAGAAAAAGATGTCATAGTTTAGAGTTAGATTTTTAAGTTGCCTAATTCACCCCCTCTTAGGCGTCACAATCCTTTCAGAGACGAGTGCGGGTGGGGAACGGGAGCGAGATCCCGTACGAAAAAAAAATACTTTTCCAGTAGGCCCCACCTCAAATAGCCTCAATAAGCATCTCTTGTTGTGGATAGTTTTTTGGGTGGGTTAGATGCAAATAACTCCAATCTAACTCTCATGTTTGATATTTTAGGGCTATTTGAGTCCCAAATAGCTCCAACTAACTCTAACCCATGGATCAAATAGGGCCAATATTAACATTAAACTTAACTGCTTGGTGGAGCATGGATTTTTTTCTTTCTAGCTCTTGCACCCATCTCGCCTGTGATTTTTTGTTTTGCCCTATATATATACGAATAACGAAGTGGGAGTACATGAATTCCACTAAGTAACGTTCGAATCCATTATTTTCATAGGAAAAATAAAACATTTATTTCTCCGTGTTTCCGAACCACGGAACGATCCAACAAATTGACATGGCTTGGGCCATGTTTAGTTCGCCGCCAAATATACTGTAGCGTAGTGTAGCATTTCGTTTGTATTTGGTAATAATTGTCCAATCATTGACTAATTAGACTCAAAACGTTCGTCTCGCAAAGTATAATCAAACTGTGTAATTAGTTTTTGATTTCGTCTATATTTAGTACTTCATACATGTAGTATAAATTTGATGTGACGGGGAATCTTTTTTTTTTGCATTGTGCCAAATTCAGAAAATTGGAGAACTAAGGGGGCGTTTAGATCAAAAATTTTTTGGATTTTGGCTCACTGTAGCATTTCGTTTGTATTTGGTAATTAGTGTCTAATTATGGACTAATTATATTCAAAAGTTTCGTCTCGCGATTTCTCACCCAACTGTGCAATTAGTTTTTTTTGTTTACATTTAGTACTCCATACACTTGCCGCAAGATTCGATGTAACAGGTACTGTGCAAATTTTTTTTGAATGTAAACAGGCCCTAAACATGGCCTTGGTCGATTCTCCCCTGTCCGACCTGTGACTGGGACGTGGCAGCTGGGCCCTGCGCGCTTCACCGCTAGCCAGTAGGCACTCTCGTCTCTCTACTCTCCGGCGCCCGCCGCACGCGCGCGAATCCCCCACCAGCTCCTCCTCGTCGTCCCCGATCGGCCGATCCAGCAATCGGATGGGTAAGCATCTCCGCCCCTCGGGCTGGAGCCGCCGCTAGCCTCTTCCTCCCGTAACCACCAACCGCCTCCTTCCTACCGACTAACGCTCTCCGCTCCTCGTCCTCCGCGTGATTTCTTCAGTCTCGCTCCGCTGCGCCGTTGATCTGTGCAGCAGCGCTCAGGTTGGTTCGAGCTGCCCGCTCTTCCAATCCCCACCGTATTACAATTCCGTCCGTGCGTGATGTCTCCTCGCGCGGTTAGCGCTGCAGGTGGTTTAGATCGGCGTGCGGCGCGACGACGGGACCGGGTCGAAGCATGGGATCCATGGAGAGAGCCAGGCTCACGCCGTTCCCGCCAAGGGAGCAGGCCACGACCAGGATATGCAAGGTGTCGAGGTACTAGTACCACCGCAACTTACACTACACGGACGGACGACCCTACACTGGTGTTTGAGCTGACGAATTGCTGAATCTGGATGGTTATAAGCTGTTCTTCAGCTCTAACCACACGCGCTCGCCGCGATTCCCTGCAGCTTTGCTACAGAATTGCTCGAGATAAGGTCCAAGGAGCCGTCTCTCCACGTGCTGCTTATTCCTGGGAATCCAGGTAGGTGTGCTGCGCTGCGCGTATGGTTCAAGCAAGAGAGAGGATTCGAAATGTTGAAATGCTCTTGAATGTAACCAGTTTCTGTTTTGTTTTTGTAGGCATAGCTGCGTTTTATAAGGACTTTGTCGAAGCGCTCTATGAAAACCTCGGTGGCCAAGCATCTGTTACAGGTAATTGCATAATGCATTTTTCTTTGTGTAGTGTGGGCTAGTATCTGTGTGACTTGCTGCTTGCTGATGAACCTTGCCTGTTTTTCAGCAATAGGGCACATTTCACATAGCCAGAAGGTAACTTATACAACTTACCTGATGTTTGTTTCACATGCAACTATGGGTGCCAACAACCCTGCAGCAAACCTTGTAATGCACATATATTAGAGATCCTTAAATGTTTGGGCTACAATTTAACTCTGTTTAGATTCCTTATTCAGCATATTAGTATTGCCAGCAGGACTGATTTTGATACATCTTATGGCAGGACTGTGAGCATGGACGATTGTTTTCATTGTATGAACAAATTGACCACAAGGTGCAGTTTACATGCTCCATCAGTTGAAACTTCTCTTTACTATTTTCTGTCCATTTGTGTTTCTGCTGCAACAGCTTTTTCTACAACTTCTGTCATGAAAGAAAATAGCAAAATAGAGAGGAAAGCCTCATATTTGTTTCATCTGCCATTGTCTTAATATGTTCTGTTTCATGTACTGATTTACTTTTTAATCAGTTTGTTCTGGAGAAGATTTAACTCCTTTATTTGCATGGCCAACAGGCCAAGACTGCCCTGTGGTTTTATCCCATGTTTATCCCGTTTAATCGGTGTTCATGCATGCAGGTTGATTTCATTGAGCAAGAGCTTCAGCATTCTGAACAACCAATAGTTTTGGTAAACTTTCGCCTTCACCACTACAAGCCTTCATTCAAGTTGTTCTATGTTAACTGAAAACTCTAGTATGTTTCTTGACATACTAGCATACAAATATATGCAATCTAAACGAGTATTACAGGTATCAGAGCTTAGGTGCTTACTCTTGTTTGGAAGTGGAAAGTCGTAGTTTCCAAATAACATCCGGATATTTATACAACCTAGAGGAGTATGCATCACAGATTTGACTGCTTTAACATCTGGCCCAAGTTCCCATTTGCCTTTTGTAATGTGAAATCAAAGTATTATAGAACCTTTGTCACTGTAATGTTCACAGCATTGTTATGGCATCACACAGGGTTTTGTTAATATAGATTAACATAACATGTTATGTTCAGTAACTCTGGAACATTCAGATCTATTCCTTATTTAAATACCCAATATGGAACCTGTGCCTTTTCTCACCATCTCTTTATTCGTTCCCAAAAGAATTGCATTTGTTTGTTTAAATGAAGGTTGGTCATTCAATTGGCGCATACATAGGCCTGGAAGTCTTCAAAAGATTTCAGAATAAGGTCTGGATTCTTGCCCATGTTTGCCAGTCCTCTCCCACAATCCGCCTATAGTGTTTACTATTGTCTTCGCTTCTCCTGTACAGATAATTTGTTTTGTAGGACTGTATCCATTTTTAAAGATGAACAAGAGTTCTGTAACACAATCAGCAATTGGATATATGGCAAGGTACTGAAATGCTCTGATCAAGTTTTTATAATTGTCATCATAGCATGTTGCTTCTATTGCCAAAGTTTTGATAATCTAACTTGGTGGCGTGATTGCATCAACACTGAATATATTGCAGTGAGCAACTGATTTGTAGTCAAGTAAAATAGTATAGGATGATGCAATATAAGATTATTTTCCCATTTGAACAAGCAATGCAACATGGGAAGCTGGATATTAGTGGCACATAGCTGATTATAACTTTTAAGTTAGTAGTGATTTTCATCTGTTCAGAAGTTAATTTTAAGGTCTTTTTGGTCGCTTGCCTTTCTATTTTCGGGCGCGAATGTAATTTCTGAGTTGTGTGGGGTTGCATGTGGCGTGTGTTGTAGGGCTCTAGCCCCTTTCTTTCTTCTTAATATAATGAAGCAGCTCTCCTGTGTTTTCGAGAGAAAAAAAAAGACCTTACTTTGACTTGTGTTTCAAATATGCTCCCAAATCTTTACTAATCATTTTGCTGAAGTGGGTCTTCTCAATTTGGATCAGGTCATCACTCCTAAGTAAATGGGTTAGTTTATCTGCATCTTTCATCGGGTCACTCCGACCTTCAATTACAAGGGGCATTGTGAGAAGGTTCCTTGGACCTTCATGGTCTGTAACAGCTGTTGATGCTGTATGCTGCCATCTCTTAAGGGTTAGTTCTGAACTTTTAGTAACCAACTTGGTGTGTTGTTTCATATGCTTCAACTGTCACAAAATGTTGAGACATGTGCCCCTTCTCCATGCCCATTGCAGTACAATACAGTGCGCAATGTTCTTTTCATGGCAATGACAGAGTTCCAAAAGGTAACATTATGAGTTACTTTTAGTAACTCATAATGCTGACTACTTGATGTTCTACTTCTACCTCTACATACATACGCATGGACCATTATAACAGCACATCTATTTGAGTAACAAGAGCCCCTCCATCTTTACCTGCATAGTGGCTATGATTATTTCTTTCTCGTTGTGCTCCAGCTTACTGAAGAACCAGACTGGACTTTCATCAGAGCACAAGAGGAGAAAATGGCCTTTTTGTTTGGTGTGGATGATCACTGGGGTCCACTATCTCACTTAGAAGAGGTGAAGTGATGATATGCTATTTGACAACATTCTATTCTGATAGCTGGTGTTGGGGAACTGGGCTGCTAGATGCTAACTATCTTCAGTTAATTTGGAGGATTTGCAGATATCAAAGCAGGCACCCAGGGTCACCCTGTCGGTTGAAACAGAAGGTCACACACACGGTTACTGCTGCACTGAGGCTGGATCCGTTTGGGTTGCAGACTACATCGCAAATTTGATTAAAAACCAAATGCTCCTTAGAAACAACTGATGTTCATGTGGCAAATGTATCATATGACTCTTTTCTTTGAAAGAAGTGAATAGCTGGAGTGTGGTGGAACTTATTGAGGTTCCGGTTATGATATATATAGTCCACATTGTCTGGCTTACTGGTTCTCTTTCAACGTCACCAATGCTTCGAGACTGTTACTGGATAATGCTACATCGGTAGTTTGGTAGCTCTTAACATTTTTCACAGTACAATCTGGGATGGTGAATACGATATATGGCGTGTTTTATTTTACGGAACGTTTAGCGCCTGGATGTCCGGACGGGTAACATCCGGATGCCCGCGCCTGCTGTGCATACTTCATGTCCCGCACGTGTACCGTGGCGCCCACTCTACACCCATGTGTATGTAGGCGGGCTTAGCAGCTACAGCAGGCATCTGTTGCAGATGAGTCCCACTACAACATGTAAAACATCAAGATCTAATTTTATAACATCTAAGTAAAACAATTACAATATACGCCCAAAACAATGGAAGCATTTGCAATATATGTCTGAAACACCAGGAAAAACATGTTTGTAGCCATTGCAAAACATATGCAACATCTAGACAAAATATTTAAAACATACAAATGAAACACTTCAAACATATGCTTCCAACATGCATGTATATGCAACATCCAGATCTACTTTTGCAGCATCCAGATGAAACATTTGTAACGTATATCTGAAACAGATGTAACATTTGAGACATACACTTGAAAACACCATTACAACATGTGCAACATCCCGATCTATTTTTTCAATATCGATATAAAACACTTACAACATACCTCTGCAAAATTTGAACACTTAAAATAGATGCTTGCAACATACAGTTTCAACACAACATCTCCTTGCTGCTTGGGAGAATGGATCCTTGTCGGCGTGTGGAGTTCTATCCCGACCGTTGCAAGCTGCACACAGGCGAGTTCCGCCCCGGCCATGGCGAACTGGGTAGGCGGGCGCGAGATGTGCGTGGACGGGCTCCACTCGGGTTGCCGTGAGCTGCACACGGGCGAGCTCCTCACCCGGCCGCAGCGAGCTAGACAGGCGGAGGCGGAGGTCTTCCTGGCCGCCGACCAGGCATCCGACTCCCGTGGTGGAGGCGGAAGCGGTCTCCCTCACCACGGGCGGGTGGCACAGCGCGACCGGTGGAGCTCGTGCGTACGCGGCTAGTGGCGGCGCTCGACATGCATATGCGGACGGCGGCGGCTCTCATGCTGATGCGGGAGCGAGTAGAGTTCGGGCGTACGCGATCGAAGGACGGGCAATGTAGTGGAGCCGATGTGAGTGCGGAAGATAAGATGTCGCTCTTTTTTCTTTTTATTTTTTATTTTTTAGAGAAATCATGTATGTTGATGAGGGGAGCAGGCTTGTGTCCGCATCCTAGCTAGTCGCGTTCTAAACTGACCGACATGAAACGAACGCCGTGGTGGAGCATTAACGTTTATTTTAACATTGCCAACGTGGATTTGTGGATTATTTAAGCTAGCTGGCTCTGATCGTAAAACCCGTGATTAATTGCCATCGCTCCTAGGGAACGTGTTATCTTATTTGCGGCTTTCATGGGGTCCGGTCCGTCACTCCAACCTTCAATTAGAAGCTACTAGGGGCATTGTGAGAACGTTCCATGGACCTTCATGGTCTAGCTGTTCATGTCCCTGTACCTTCGTTGTGACAAGATATACTGCAAGGATTACAGGAAGAACGGGGAAAGGGTCAAAATACCACGGCTGTTTCAAAATAAGTGTTATTCTCACTTTTTAATAAGTCAAATATTTATAACTTTAACCAACTATATATAAGACAAAAAAATATTAATCGTCTTGTTCGTTTGGCTGATAAGCCATGGCTGAAAGTACCGTTGGCTGATTTATTGTGAGAGAAAAATGTTGTTCGTTCGTTGAAAAATTATGAATTATAAGCTAAGCGAACATGGCGAATATTTATAGTATATAATTAGTGTCATTAGATGAATCGTTGAATATTTTCATAATAAACGTATTTGGAGATATAAAAGTTGCTAATATTTTTTACAAACCGATCAAAATTGAGAAAGTTTGATCGACATGGATACCATAATGATACTAATTTAAGGACAAAGAAAATATGAAATAACAATGATCAAGTTGCAGGTACTTGTATACTTTGTAGCAGACTAAACACCTAAAGACGCATCACCGAAAGAGAAGCAGGCTTAGCTGCCCAGGCTTTAATCTGCCCAGGCTTTTAATCTCCTATGCAAGGATTGAAAATAAGCTATTGTTCCGCTAATTGTTATTAAGAAAATACTATTATGTTCGAAATCAATCACTGTGTTCACATAAAATCAAACACATCCTATGTGTCGTGAAGCCCTATGTGTCGTGGAGCCCACCAGAAATAAAATTAAGATTGCAGAGAGATTGAAATTCTCATGTACTAACGAGCTCATATAATATGTATCCATACTCTTTGGGTCTTCCTAAAATTAGAGCACTCGGAGCTCAGAGGTTCATCATCGACACCACGTTTGTTGGTTGGTTTCTAGGTTGATAAGTTTAGTTGATGTAGATTTGTTGTGAAAGAAAAATACTGTATTGGTTGATTGATAAGCACTGGTTGAAACCAACAAACGAACAGACTGCAAATCGGATACCTAGATGAACACACGGCCTGTAGAAACGCGATATTCGCTTGGCTTATAAGCTGTACTTTTTTAGTCAACGAACAATATTTTTCTCTCACAACAAATCAGCCAATAACTGTACTTTCAACCATGGCTTATCAGCCAAACAAACATAACAAAAAAATAGAGTTAAATACATAAGAGGTCCTTAAACTTTATCATGAAGTGTCACTTAGATCCATAGACTTAAAAAATACATTTCTGAATACATAAACCAACTAAATGATACCCTGCAGCTCCATACTCGCCCCGTGACACGAAAATATGCACCCGGTCCCCTGGAAAAATATGCCCCTAAACAGATCAACCCGCGGTGGAGAAGACGAAGCTGCCGCTGCTGCTCGTGTGCGCGCCGCCGCTGTTGGTCGTGCTGCTGGACCTCCTTCTCCTGCCTGCGCTGCTCTCCAACTTCCTCCGCGCTCAGGCGCGCGCCCCGCCGCATACTGGTGCGTCTGCGCCGGCCAGCAGCAGCCGCGGTAGCAGGCTGGGCGAGGCTGTCTGCGAGCAGAGCTGTCGCCGCGGTGGCGCGGCGGTTTGCCGACGAACAGACGGCTTATCGCGGGGAGCCAAATGGCAGGGGACGGCGAGCAGCTCACCTCGAGATGCCTGGTGTGGTTCGCTGGGTTGGGGACGACGTGGAGACGGCTGACCACGTGCGCGGCGGGAAGAAGCAGACGGACGACGGGCACCACGGCGTTCCCAGCAAACAGCGACGCGAACAGCCAAACTGTACATGTGACAGGTGAAAGAGGTCAAGGCGATGCCAAAACACAGCAAGGATGGACGGTAGTGGAAGAAACGACACCGGCATCGCCGAGCTGAGCTCCGGCGGCCATGGCGGGCAGAGAGTGCAAGATATGGAAATCCGTCCTGTACCATCGATGGCTCCTAGGGATGTTTCGTCCTATGGCTTGCTAACTTCCTAAGGAATCCGTGGGTGCAAGTAATTGGACCGACGTTCACTAGAGTGGGCGAATTTGGAAGAGGAACAAAAGGCGACCGTGAAGCTGGAACACGGCTTTTATATTGCCGGCGAGGCAGGGCAGGCAGAGGCTCGGCTGGGGCTTGGGCTGGCGTCTATGTCGTGGCTAGGGCACCGACTTGCGCAGGCATTGATGGCACACAGCCTCGGGACGAGGCGAGGCACAGAGGTGCTCGGCGTGGACGACGGGCATGGCGTGCAGACGTGCTGTCACGATCGCGTGAAGGTTCAAACCGCGGCAGGGCAGTCAAGTGCCAAGGCGTTGGGACGGAGCGAGGCAGCAGCACGGGCAGAGGGCGCTCGGTCGTGGAGGGCAGCGAGGCCATTGGCCGTAGCGGCTTGGCAGCAGCAGGCGAGCACAGCGCCCCGACGCGACAGGACCGCGGTCAGCAGAGCACAAGAACAGGGACCGTCGGCTTCCGATCCAGAGCGCCGCACGCGTCGCTGTGTGTTCTCTCCCCTCGACGTCGATTCTGTAGACGAGCAGGCGTCGGCGCTTGCGGCAGGTGGCGTGTTACGCGATGCGGAAAGGTGGGCGACGACGACCGACATGAGGAACATGGCCTCGACGGCGATGAGGTGGCCCTTCCCCTGCCACTCGAGTCCTGCGCCGGCGACGCAGAACACAGCGATGGCCTTGGCGAGGACGTAGCAGAGGGAGGCAGCGCGCACACGAGCAGCAGCGACGCTAGCATCGCCACGAGCAGCAGCGGCAGCTTCATCTCCACCATCGCGGGCTGATCTGTTTAGGGGCATATTTTTCTGCCACATGACAAGTATATGTACCAGAAACGCATTTTCTATTTTAAGTTTATAGAACTGACACCCCACGACAAATTCAAAGACCTCCCATACATTTAACTCAAAAGAATATATGGCAAGGGAGCCTGAACTCAACAAGGCATACTTACTTGTACACAGGATACGAACAAACAATATAATTTTTGATCCATCTCATATATATACAAATAATTTGATCTATCTAATGCTGATGGCTATGCGCCACGTTACAAAGAAATGTTACAACAAATTTTCTCGCTCCATTCAGAACAGAGAACTCATTTATGCTATTATATATTTTTTTTAAAAATAACACAAAGCATACAACATCAGACAAATGCACAAATTCTATGGAAATCTTAGATTCTTCATCTGTATCCTCAACGTTAGCTACACAGTTTTCTTTTGTTCCAGGTTCTAAAATTCATCATCATCAAGTGACTCATCATCTGGCATCATAGCTGTCAACAGTGAGTATTTCACCCGCAATGATATCTTACCCCTCTCAAGGTTCAGCTTTGCGCCTGAAACCACCCAATAGCCCGGTGAGTCCTGCGGCCCACGCATCATCTCTGTTGGATCAACAAACTTGAGCAGCTTTGGGGTCTGCACTGGAACAGGTGGGCCACCAGGGTACACTGCCGAGTTTATGTTCACATCCGCTGGCCGTGGTGGGGGCTTCTGAGCTACTGAGGAGAAATGTGTGCTGATGAGTGTTGAGATAAGGCCTGATTTCTGAGCTAGGTTGGGAGAATTCTCCCATTCCGAGTTCCTTACAATGGCATTGCAGGCTTTGGAGAAATGCAGGCGAAGGAACAGAATTTTCTTGAGGCCATGGTTAACCACATCTAATTGTGCCCCTGTGACAATGGACAAATCATCTGACTCGACTGGTGCTGTGCAGACATGAGAGAAACGCTTCCACGGTCCAATTGGTTCGTAGTATTTGCGGTCATATTCTGGAATTTGGTGATTGTAAGGGTCATCTTCAAGCTGAATAATTTGAGGAAGAGAGCATAGATGTTGGAGATGTATAGCTAATTTGTTGCTCTTCCTTCCTTCAAGGAACAACCGGAGTCCTGTAACTGGTCTTTTACCCACATCAACCTGCAGCGAGTTTGATATTGGGTTCAAAATATGAATGGGGGAAATACATGAATCAAAATTCAAACCATCATCTTAGTGGAAAAAAACAACTGAAATAATACTATAGTTTTTTTTCAAAAAAAAGGTACAGAAAATGAAACAGAGAAAGAAAACTGTCGATTATGACAATAGCAGAAGCTGTCCATACCATGTTAGTGCAAATATAAAGCTTTGGACCGATTATATTTACTGGCAACGATGTACTGCTTTGTCTTTTCCTCTGAGGGCCCAGAGCGAGATCACTGTAAACAGGTGCCCACTGCCTTGGTAGCTGGAACTCCAGAAACTGATGTAATTCCTCGACTGAGGGTTTATCTGCACCAAATTTCAATATATCACCAAATTGTTGCAGTTGGACTTGCGGCCGAATATTAATTTTGCTAGATTGTGTGCTTTGCAAGTTGCAACCAGAAGTATTATGGCACATATAGGATTTCTTCCCCGTAAAAATTTGCACCACCTATTTTTCTACATTTGCATGTTATTAGCAGAGCAGGAGCACAACCATTGTGTTGCGGATGCCTTTGTTGGCAAATACTAACGCAGAAACAAAAAGGCTGTGGCGTCCACAAGTGGTTAGGATAGAATTTGTTGCTCTGGCAAGTCAGTTTTGGTTGGCACTTGAGATTAGGAATTTGTTAGCGTCGACTCTACTTAAGGAGAACGGCAGAACTTTGTTTGGTTAAGCAGTAATTGAGTTAATCTGTTCAGAGATTCCTAGGAAGGGTGAACAAACTCCATTCCCTGCCATTGTTACCCTTCTAGTCAGATTAATAAAGCCAATCATCCAGCCATAACACATTGTCTAACTAAAATTCTCCAGCCATGCATTCAATTGTGAAACTCCTTAAGAAAAGGAACTGTTTGTTTCTCTTGAGAAAAAATGAATAAATTCAGCTCCCTTTTATTTTCAACCATCGATTTTCCCAGGTGGCAGGGTATCTCAACCCTAACAATCGAGAACCTCACACCAAAAGCATATTAGAAAACAGTCCCTTTCAAATGTTAAACCAGAAGCATCCTATTCCTGGCTATGGCTAGGGCAAAAACTGTAACCAAATTTCAAAAGTGTCAACGCCGACATTGTGCTGTAATATACTGTGGCTGTATATCCAGATTTCTCCTAGCATCATTCATATATACAGAGTACAAAACATGTTTTTTTTTGTGTGTCAACCTAAATACAGCACAGCAGCTTAAAAGAGGGTGAAATGACACTTACGTCGGAGATACAGATTAATTGCATGGTTCAAAAATCCACTTCCAGGAACTCCATTCAATAGTGAAGTGATTGGTATAAAGGACATTGAGATAACATCAGGCTCTGCTTGAACAGTATTAAGCCACTCGCTATGAGATATAAATTCTTTGTCCCTCCCACCTCTTCGCTTAGGCATCATCACCAAATCCTGAGATAGGGTGAACAAAAATGTGTATCATGCTAAGACATCCAGCTAAGCTAATATAAATATGATTCTTTGCTTGAGCAATGATGAGCGATTGAACATTATAACACAAAGCTCTACCTCAGTTGACGAGTAAGAATTCAATGGACTGGACTGTACAAATCTCAGCTGTTGCTCTCTGATATCACTCTGTACAGTGTGCAACAATGTTAAATCAGAAAATGTGGAAGAAAAATGTAAGCTGAGAACATATTACGTCCAGCCAGCATCTTTTCATGATAAAATATACATGACAGTACCCAAAAAAGTAAAACCTAAGATTGAAATCAGAATTCAGAGCAAGTAAGCAGTTTAGATCTATGGGCATGGTATATAAAGAAATTAAATATTTTTGTCAATGTATATTTCTCTTTGCCATCTAAATATTTCTCAACCAGAACAGCCATACCAGCCAGAATTTGAGGCTATGGTCGCATGCCCATAGAACCAGTGTGTATATAATTATGTATCATGTCACAGAAAAGGGGAAACTACCTATTGGAAAAAAACAATATGGGCCAGCTGCTTGTCCCAACTTCCCCACGAATTCAATGAAATAAATTGGAGGGAATCTATTATTTTAATGTTTGTTGGCCTAGTAATCGAGGTGATAAACACAAATTCCACTGGTCAAAAGCTGCACCTTTTAAGGCTCACAGAAGTAAACGTTACATGTTGTGAGGTGTTCAAAAAAACAATCATTAAATCTTAAATAAGTTATACTGTACAGGTACCACTTTAACAGTAATCATTGATGTTAAATGGAAGAAATCCTGGGAAAAGAAGAAGAAACAAAGGTTCAGAAAGCACCTTATTGTTCCCATATGTGTCCTTGAAACCCATGTCAGATTGCCCATTTGCATCAAAAAATCTCCTGTCTGATATCTCCTTCAATCGTTTTTGAACATCAGCAGCTTGCAAGGTCGATGAATGCTGTTGCTTCAAATAAATTACATCTTTCCCGCCCATCTTTAGACCAACAACTATATGAGTGCCAAATTTTTTAATGAACCTGAAGAGTAAAGCAACTAAACTTTAAGTTTTATATTGATGAACTCAGAATGATTCAGTGAAAATGGTAAGCTGACATCATTTACATGTAATCAATTAGTAAGGATAGGAAATGACAATAGATGACAAGTTATGAGGTGTGGGGTGACACACATTTGCCAGGAGGCCAATGATAAAATCGGGGGAGCCATGAAAAATGGAGAGTTAAAAAACTGAAGGTAAAGACTAATATGAACTGAAGGAGAAACACAGAGTTTCATCCTACGTGCCAAAACTGTAGATTCAGATATGGATGTAACCTTGCCAAGGCAGCAGGTTCCCAGGTTGATGGAACAGCCTGTTTAACATGATCCCGGAGTACAATTTGCCCTTTTGAGAGTGCGACACTGTATAGTGTGACATACCAACCATCAAAAGCAAGTGTTTTGGTATTAGCAGCATCTTTCTGCCAGCTGCCAGAAAACTCAAACATAGTATTGAAGAAGCCAGATGGAATTTTCCCAGACAAAGATAGCTCCTGGTTGAATTGCTCAGACATCTGCAAAGTGTTTCATAATTTGAGGAAGGTGGCTAACTGGCTTTTCTCAGCATTGTAAACACAATATATGAGCAGTAATAGTTTCCATGGATGTAGATGTACTCTAGTATTTAAAACAACAACACTTGAAGAGGAAAAGTGCATGATATGACCATATAACAGCATCTACCTAAAAGGACTCAAACGTCTCAAGATTGTCCTTGTGTTTCTATCACTCAAAACGTTTAAATGTTTCCAACCGATTCGGATCCTATTTTCTATTGAATAGCAGGACTTTGCAGCAGCTCCAGATATCGTCTAACTATACGGTATACATGCACAACAGCATTACTACTTAGTAGTTGAAAGTAGCAATAGTTAAACATGGCTTTTTCTTTGCTTAGTCCGTTTGATCGGTAGATTATTTGCAGAGGACGCCATGCATCACTGCAATACCCAGTTCAGTTGCTATACTCTATCATATAGATATAAGTAGTAGGAAACTAACACTCCTATATGTTACTACGTATAAGAATAAGAATAAGTGAAATGGGTATACAAACAAAACCACACCTGCTTAAAGTAGCAATAGTTTAGCATGACTTTCTATTTGCTTATTTCGTTTGGTGCGGTAGACTATTTACAGTTACAGAGCACGTCGTTCAACCCTATAATACCCAGTTCGGTTGCTATTCTCTGTTATGCTGGTACAATCAGTATGAACTAATATAGGGATCCATAAGAAGTGAAATGGATATACAAACAAAACAGGAAGAGAACCAGAACCAGAAGCACACCTGCTGGAACGACAGGACATCCGAGCGGAACCTCATCCGCTCCCCTTTGTCGCACTTAACCGATTTTGTGACGCCAGCAACGGTGACGCCGCCGGGCAGCACGATATCCTGGACCTCCCCATGGTCGAGCTCGATGAGCCAGGGATCGGGCGCGCCCCGCTGCTTGCAGTACTTGAGGCGGACGTCGCTGACGACGTCGAAGCCGAGGCCGACGGAGCGTATGGCGGCCTCCGCGGCCGCGGCCGCGGCCTCCTGCGGCGTGGCTCTGCGCGCTGCCATCGTCGTCCTCAGCCACTCATCCCGCCTCCGGCGTCCCGCCCGTGCGCGGAGGGAGGGATCGCGGGACCTCGATCCCCCGGCGCGGGGAGGCCGATCTGACGCGGGGAGAGAGGAGGAAGGGGAGGAGCGGCGGGCGACGGGAGCGGGGGCGGCGCCGGGGAAGCACAGGTTGGAGAAAGGCGAAGTGGCAGGAGAGGTAAATTTGGCTCCTGCCTGTCTCTCCGGTCTCCTTTCGTTTTGTGTTTTTGGTGGGCCCGGTTAGGTCTGGTCAAACTGAGGTGGTTGGCGAGCAAGGCCCACTAGCAGTAGAGATCTGTTGCTCCGATGTTGGCTGGTTGGTTTCGACCAGTCTAAATCAGTCAATCAACAATGTTTTTCTCTAAAAAAATTAGCATCAATCAATTCAAATCAGCACCAGCACCAACTAATAAACAGACCCTATATGTGGTACACCTCCTCTTCGTTTTTGCAATTCGTTGGTTTGGTATTTAAAATTGGTTGGATGGCTGTGTACTAAATTTGAATGCAACATTTTGAAGTTTCTATTGCTCGAATTTATTGTGGGAGAAAGACGTGATGTTCTAGAAAGAAAACAACAAATACAGTTGACGAAGGAGCAGGTCTGAGCGGGGAAAATTGAGTAGGATTTACCTCACCTGGGCTATAAAGATCTTTCACGGTCACGACACATGTCTATATAATAAAGGCGTTTTTTTATTTGCTCAAAAAATATAAAGGCGTTTTTTTTGAATTGATGTGATAATTTTTTTCTACCCCCTTGAGTTTACGTGGCAGTTTATGCATGCAGAGTGAATCTGCGGTAGATCCTCACAATCGCAACGTCAGCGGTGGGGTGGGAATGTCCCGGGCGTGTCAACGTCGCAGGCAGTGATTAGGCCAGTGGGGCGGAGATTAGACAGACAAAGGTTGAGACCAACATTTTCCGCGGCGGATCACCATCAGGTTAATTAATTAATGATTTGGTGAAGGGGTGGCAGGCACAGCATGACAGCAAGGGTGGGTAGCGTGACCGACCGGGTGGACCCCACGTGCGCGAGAGACTCTTCAGCAGCAGACAGCACAGCAGCGGGCACTTGTCAATTCGGTACCTGGTGGACCAGGCCAATTGCAAAAAACAACCCGATGAAAAGTGAACATTTCATTTGGCACGTGATTCGGCGCCAACGTGCATTTTATTTTTTTTTTTACCTACATTTAATACTCCTACAACTAAAAAAATAAAGTATGGATATTTTTTTTAATTGTGACATTTATTTTGGTTCGTCTATCTGTCCACGCCTGCGATCTCAACGACATCACCTTGATTGAATATTATCTGTCATGTGATAGAGGAATCACGGCAAAATAGAAAGTAGAAAATTATTGTGCTATCCATATACACATTGCATGTTTGCATGCACCAACATATATGGCAACGAACAAAAGGAAAGAGAATTAACACAGAAGGAAAGAGAATTAAGACAAAAGAAACATCTTTGTATTTATGAGAATCTTATCAAATCTGCCTATATTTAATTACTTATCCTCTTTGCATTTGCAAAAGGGACAGTTTTTTTCTCCTTTCATTTAGTTTCATGCTCACGTGTTCCATCTGCCTCGGTCACCTCCTTGCTCGTCGCTCCCCTTGTGATCGCGGCATCGCTCCCCTCCCCTCCGTGACTCCTCGCTTAGTCGTGTTGCACGCCTTCGACTACCGTGAGGCGGTGCGGCGTCCACGGTGCTGGTGAAGAAGGACGCACTCAGCTTGGGCCACTTCCAGACGTCGCTCCTCGACGGCATCCACCATATCCTCGCACAGGACACTGGGTTGGCCTTCCAGCTCGTCAGCGCCACCAAAGCCGACCACCGTGAGGTGGCACGGCGTCCCGGTGCTGGAGGTGGCGTAGGTGGTCAATGTAACACCCCGATGTTATGACCAGCATTTAGGCACTGCAAAATCATACATATTATGCATCATCAAGCATCCTAATCGTACATGCCTAATCATGTAAATAATAATAACTGAAACCCTGCTTTGAAACATTTGAAACATGCTCGTGAAATATGAATGTTGCGTACACTTGTTTAGAGTTATTTTTGCCCAAATTATGCTTGCTAGGTTAGTAAAACATGTTTGGCTATGATTGTAAATCATCTGGAATTATTTAGCATAATTTTTGGAGCAAAGTTTGTATTTAAATTATAGCCAAATTTTGCTTTAAAAATAATTCTCCAAAATTAGGGTTTTGAATTAATATTGAGTTTAATTTGGTAATCAAAATCTATTTGGAATTTGACTTTGGTCATAAAAGCAAAGTTGTAGATATTGAAAAATGGAACAAATTTTATTTTCTACACCAATTTATGAAAATGCTTTTAAATGGCTCAAAATGGGATTTGAATTCTGTTTGTTTGAGAAATAAAAAGGAAATTATTTCATTTTTAAACAACAGTGTCGTCGCCCTTCTTTACCCACGCCAAAGCCCGCTAAACTATCATGTCACTTGTCGCTCGTCGCTCGCCGCTGCCTGTCTGTCCCAGCCTCAGTATCTCTGCGCGTTCACTTCACACACGCGCCACGTCCAGTCAGCGTCATACCGACCGCTGACAGAGCCGCGACCACCACAGGCGGCGACCATGCACCGGCGACGCCACCTTGCATGTGCGCGCCCACGGCTCGCCTCCGCTCCCACGCGCCCACCTTCATCTGCTGAAGCCGCTGCGCTCATCACTCCACTCTCCCGCGCTGCCTCTTTGCTTCGCCCGCATGAGCTCTGTTCTCTCGCCGCCGAGCGCCACCGCAACCCCCGCCGGAGATATTCGCCGCCAACACTCCACCACTGCCCGCATTCAAGCGCACCTAGCTCCGCCCCGCTCTCCGACACCTGGTGCTCACGGCTGTGACGCCTTTTGAGCCAAGGTAGAGCCCTTTGCGCGTTTCGTCGCCGCCAGTCATGGCGCCGCCGTGCTCGGCCGCCGTGGAACGCATCCTCTTTCCCTCCTCCACCCCTTTTCAATTGCCTGCTCGGGTTCGTCACCTCCTTGCAAACCCCGCGCGCTCGCCCGCTTGCCGAACCCGGCCGGCAATGGCCGCCGTCCCGCTGGCAGAGCCCGCGCCACCGTGTCGTCTCGACGACGGCGTGGCGTGGCTCTTTGCCCGGCCGAGCTGGGCCAGGCTGGCTTAGGCCGAAGCCCCGAGCCAGGCCGCCCTCCCCTTCGCTCGGACTGCACAGGTCGAAAGTGGCCATGGGCCAGTTGGTTTCCACAGGCCGGCCCAGTAGTGATAGAAAAATTTCGTTTTCACTTTTCTTTTATTATTTGGAAAGAGAAATGATTTGGAAAATGTTTGTATACTCAAATTTGCTCCAAATCTGTTGAAACAAATTTTTCTAGGTTCCTTCTCACCAGATCTACATGATAAAATTATTGCATGTCATTTTTGAGATACTTTTCTGTAGAGCTTTAATTAATTCTTGATATTGCTGATATCTTGTAAAATGGTTAGTAAATCCTATATGTATCAGAAAAATATGATTCCAAGTTTGTTAATCTTATTGTATAATGTACTTCCTAGAAAAAATATGTGTCATGCATGTACTATAGAAAATTTTTGAGGTGTAGTTCAAGTGACTTTAATGGCTGATTTTTGTTATTTTTGCTAGAGAGCAAAATTTGTATAAAACATGCATGTGATAATTTTTGTGCAGTGATTATTTGCTGTGTAGAACATAGGAAAAATATTCCCTCTGTTGTTTGACACTTTTCACAGTACAAAGTATTTTCATGTTCATAATCATGCCATAGCTTGTTATTTTTGTGTAGGCTATTCCACTTATTCAAATGCCCTAAAAATTTGATGGTAGACTACTTAGGGTAGTACTGTGCTATGGTAATTTTCTAAGATTTTTCTAAGCAATAAAAATACATGTTGCTATTCAAACCTATTATTATTAATTAGGGTTTAATCAAGTGTTGCTTTATGTGTGATTAAGAAATTAGTGAAACTTTGGTGTATATTTGAAGCATTAATAAGATGTGTTGACTTAGCATATTAGTAGTAGAAGAGAAGGCAGTAGATGACATGTGCTTGTAGTTTATATTCTTGGATGATGTTTAATACCTTGCATTCAAGCATATCCATTGTATTCATCTCATCCGATGCACCGATTGCATAAGCACTTACGCACATTGCATCATATAGGATCGCAAACCGAGAACCCAGTCGTCATACCTGAGGAGCCCGAGGAGCAACTCGAGGTGCAGCCGCAGGAAGTGCCCGAAGCCGACGAGGAGGACGTTGAGGAACTTCCAGAGTGCCTCGATCACCGCCCGAGCTCCTTCGAGAGAGGCAAGCCCTGGAGCATTTTCTCCCCGATTTGCAATTATTAATTAACTGCTTTACTTTAATTGATGCATTACGTTCAGGAGTTATTTGCAACCGTTGCTGCATTATACCTTGTCTACCTTTGTTATACCATATCCTTGTTACTCTAGTATCCGCAGTCGAGTCAATGCTTAGCTGGCTTAGACCTGTAGAAGTCGGGTGATTTCCTGTCACCTGCGAGCTATAGGTGGTTACCTGAATCTGCTTGGATAACTATGTAGTCATGGTATAACTAAGTGTTAAATGAAGTTGAGACCGGAAGAAGACTTACAGAGTTTTGAACTGTAGTGCTTTCCGTCTGTGTCGATTAAGGACCGATCGTTGTTGGGCCTCGAGTCATGTTGAACGCATGCCTTACATTTAGCTGGCCGGATAAAGTACCTTCCGACCGCGAAGCTAGGAGATTATTCGGGCCGAGTAGATTGCCCGCAGCGCACTGTGCCGGAGCAGGTGTGGTAGGACACGGGGGCGAGATGATAAGATCAAAGTGCAGTCGGTCGGCCCCCGGGTACATGTGGTTCCTGGCAAACTCGAGACTCCTGGATAGTTGACTCGGTGATCAATACCTCACTTTAGCTGGTGAATGAGGTTTGTGTAAGGAATAAATCACCAGCTG